CATCTTCCCACAATAATTTCCCTCTCTTGTGCTTCTTCTTCTTTCTTACTCAATAGATATTCCTGTATTATATGTGTTTCTTTTTCAAATATTTCTTTGGATTCACTTTTGTGGTCGGTCCACATCACAGACTATCCCACAGGTTTTTCTTTCTCTAGCATTAGAAGCATCTGAACTTTTTGCACATTTTAGTGCAAGATTTCCAGATTTTCTTTGATCTTCATCCTATAGTGCAAAGTAGCCACTGCCAATGTATGTGGTACTTATGATCCTCTGATTTAGAGGACATCATCCAGAGTAGGGTCTTGTCATTATCACACAACAGCTTCTGGTGTTCCTGGTGCATCTCTTGCATGCCTTCTACTTCAGGGTGCATGACAATGTCATCTTGAAGAGTTCTCAGCTGGGAGAACTCTCAGCATGCAGTGCAGTATGAAGATGGAGAGACTTTCTTCTTGAGGCAAGACATGCAAATAGTTTGTCCACAGTCAACGGTGATTGACTACAGACCTCATTCCAGTCGATAAAACAGAGAGGACTTTCTTCTTCAAATTTAAGTTCCACCAACCTCTCATTATTTCAAAATATCTGTACCTCAGGAATCAGCTGAGGAAAGCATCTTAGCTCAAAGCAAGCACACCAAAACTGCTGAATGCTTGGGGTTAAATAGCAAACATTAGACATTTTGTGTAGATCAGGGATTCTCAAACTTTTTGGTCTCAGGACTCCTTTAGACTCTTAAAAACTATTGAGGACCATCCACCCCTGAAGAGAGCTTTGGTTTATGTGGGTTGTATCTATCAATATTTACCATATTTGAAATTTAAATTTCTTAGCATTATTATGAAAATAGTTTTGATCTTGGACCCCCCCCCAAGGGTCTCTGGAACCCTTAGATGTCCTTGGGCCGCACATTGAAAACTGCTGAAGTAGAGCAAAAGTTCTTGACCTCATTACATATCATATGCCTCTTTGGTGGTCTGTGAAACCTATGGACCCCTTCTCGGAATTATGTTTGTCAGCAAACAAACAAATGCAATACATAGAATTACAGAGGAAACAAATTATTTTGAAACACAATGATCAAAACATATTTTTCTTCATAGAGGATGATAATGGTTTGGAGAAGGAAATAGTTTCATGTACTCTAGAAAATGTTATGGCTCCACAGCTGCTATCCAGATGGAGGTCATTCAGCAATTTGAGAAGACAGGAGTATAGGATGCTTTGTCCCCTACTTCTGGTCACCATTGATTTGCTGTTGAGGGTCACTGAACCATCTGCCTGTCAACTTGACATAAACACGAGAAACCTCATGTCTTCCTAGGGCATGTATGCAGGACCTCATAGAAAGCCTCCTGAGATTTGACAGACTTAAAACATAGCATCCCCTGAGATTCATGTGGATACATTTCTGAAAGGGACCTAGGAAGAGTTGCCAGGGATTTGGAAGTCCTGGGCTCAAAACTAAAAACCTTAATGGCAAAGACTCCTATATTCATGATTATTCCCAATTGAATATCAATCAATCAATGTTTATTAAGCAACTACTCTTGTGTCAGGCTCTGTGCTAAGCCCTAGGGATACAAAAAGAGGTCAAAAGAATAGATCATACCCTCAAGGAGCTTACAGCTTAATGGGAGAAAAAACATGCACACAAAAAAATACAAAGCGAGCTGTGTACAGAATAAGAAATAATTTACATAGATAAGACACTGGAATTAAGAGGAGTTGAGGAAGACTTCCTATAGAAGGTGAGATTTTAGTTGGGACTTAAAGAAAGCCAGAGAGGTCAGTAGTTAGAGCAGAGGAAGTCATGAGTTGCAGTTTCCAAAGAGAAAGGAGGATTTGTGATGTAAATACCTGTCTAAGAAGATATTATCTGAGAATGGGATTTGAATTTCTGGACCATGACTGAAAATATCAAGATATCTTAAGACTCTCTGATTAAAGGTGATATAAAATGAGAAAGGGGGGTAGAAAATTGTCCACAAATATTTGGTAAATTAGATACTTCTGAGAGCAGCAAAAACATCATATGAAAAAGATTATCCCCTAAAAAATTAGTAATTCACAATAGACAGTATCCAAGAAGAAAGCTAACATTAAGATCTATGGCTTCAGATATCTACATGAAGCATGGGCAAGAAACAAGAAATAGGAACCCGAGATTCGAAAGTAGAGATATTACCATAATAAGACAAATTTAACCTGATAGGCATCACTGAGGCTTGGTAGGATATGACTCATGACTAGAATATGTCTGCAGGAGATCATCCCTCATTCAAAAAGGAACAGCATAGATAAAAGGGGTGATGGAGGTAGCCTTCTGTATCAAGATCTAGGCATATGAGAAATCTAGGAGCCAGCTCTCCGGGCTAAATAACCCTCAGTTCTTTCAGATCATTCTTGAATACCACCCTGGTTACCCAGTAGATATGTCCAGTTTGTAAATATACTTATGGGATCCGAAAATTATAGACTTTGAGCTAAGGAACCTCAGAGATCATTTAATTCAAATCCCTCATTTTACAGATGAGCAAACTGAAGCCCAGAAAAGTTTAAAAAAATAACAATAATAATATTAAGTCAATAAGACACGGTGCCAGGTTTTGAACTTAGATCCTCTGACTCTACATCTAGCACTCTTTCCATGATTTCCTGGACCAAATACAGAGTCTGGAAGTAGCCTATGCTTTACGTGAATAACCTTGAGATGTTGGTATTCATCTCAAGTTAATGTCTGTGCTAAGATTTTAATAGTGACTGAAATGAGACGTTTACTGTAATCCCTTTTGACATACTAAACTTTGATGTGACGGGGAGAATGAGATAGCTTCATTAGAGGATAATATGATTACCTATTGAAATGGAGAGGATCTAAATATCCTCATTTTACTTCTTAAATGTTTTTGTTGGTTTCATGCTCCCGACTGTTTCCTCAGTGTCATTTCTCAGTTGAACATGACTGGTTTGTTTCAGATGTATATAATTAACTCTTTTTGCAAATATGCATACGTATGAATTCTCTATAATTGCACACACATAATGTGAATCGACTATGTGATATGCACTATCCTAGGTTTTGAAAGAGATGTAAATTTCCAGTTCAAAAATTGGTTCAAACCAGCAATTCAGACATAGGATTAGGGTAGGGGAGATGGCATAATTGAACTAACACAGAGTTGAGAATAATGAGAGACATTTCTGTCCCAACTTTTGTTGTTATTGTTGTTGTTTTTAGGCAATTAGGGTTAAGTGACTTGCCCAGGGTCACACAACTAGTGAGTGTTATGTGTCTGAGGCCGGATTTGAACTCAGGTCCTCCTGACTTCAGGGCCAGTGCTCTACCTGCTGTGCCACCTCGCTGCCCCCTGTTCCCAACTTTTTGAATAATTAGCCTTAAACAAATTGACTAACCTCTTTGTGCCTTAGTTTCTTTATGAGTCAATAGATAATAGTGTCTGTCCTAATTACCTCAGAGGGCTGACATAAAGGGTCAAATGGATAACAGATGTGAAAGCCCTTTAGAATGTAAGAAGTGCTTACTACCTGTAAAGCTCACAGATAAAATGACTCTTCAGTCTAAGACATCTTGGTCATTCTGCTACTTTAGAGTAGTCTCATTGCCCACTAGATACTTCTGATCACTTTCCCATTACCTACTCACCAGCCTGTAAAGACCTTCACATGAGGCTGGTCTTCCTCATCGCTAAGTTTTCATGTCAAGACTTGACAGTCTTTCACATGTGCTAACTGTGATGTGCTGACCATGTTCCCTAAGGGTCCGGATAGTGACCCTTCATTAGACAGCTTCCTTCCCTACCCTCTAGCCCAATGCCAATAACCGATGATAGTTTTCTTTGTCCAACTTGGTCAGACAAGCTGTCAGAAAACAGATAATTAAATGGCTTCTGCCAGATTCCCAATAGTCCTTCCCTCCAAGTATACATTTTTCACTGGAGATAAAATGAATAAAGCCATGTTGAAGGGTAGGCAAGCCCAAGATACAATACACCAGGGAGAAAGAAATAGTAAGTACAATGTGAGGAAATTTCATTAAATTTACACATTTTGAATTTTGGGAAGCTCTGCCCTCTGTTGAATAAAGTTACGATAAGTCAAATCATACATGATCTAGGGAAAATTCCAAGTTTCTATTGAAAAATGTCAAATTAGGGGCAGCTAGGTGGTACAGTGGATAAAGCTCTTGGGAGTCAGTAGGACCTGAGTTCAAATCTGGCCTCAGACACTTGATACTTACTACTTACTAGCTGTGTAACCCTGGGCAAGTCTCATCCCTGATTGCCTCACCAGAAAAAGAAAAAAAAAAAGAAAAATAACAAATTGGGGACAGTTTTTTCCTTGTAGGATTATTTTCTGAGTAAGTTATTCTTGGTTGCAAGCCTATATCTTTCAGGGAACAAAAGAAAACTCACAAGGAAGCAAAGATGGACAGCTATGAACACAGTATGTAGTTTTTATTATATAGGCTTTCTTGAAAAGGAAATTTTATTGCTGTTTATTTTGAATCCTCTCTTACATTCTGCTGTGTACATGGCAATGCCTTTTTTTCTTTTCTGATTTAGTATTTAAGTTTATATGCTTATTTTTCTTTTCATATTGTGTATTTAAGTTTTAGGATTTAAGTTTAAAATAAATTAATAAAAATATAATTCCTAAAAAGTGCTGTATCTTTTGCCTTTTGGAATATCATACTCCATACTCGGTGCTCCTTTATGGATTAAATGTGCAGAGAAGTACATATTTTTGGATGTGGCCAATGTGTGCCTCCCTTTCTCCCTCCCTCCCTCCCTCCCTTCCTTCCTTCCTTCCTTCCTTCCTTCCTTCCTTCCTTCCTTGGGGATCAGCAGCGTTAGGCACAAACTAGGACCTTGGAACTTCTGGGCCTCTGCAGCCTCAGCAAGATTGGCTTAGTGAGGGCTCTTCTCAATGGATGTCCTTGCAGCACAATCACTTTCTTTTCCCCTCTGTTTTAGGGCTTGGTCATTGAACGTCTGGGGCGCAGACCTCTCCTCATTGGTGGCTTTGTGCTCATGGCCCTCTTCTTTGGAATCCTCACTGTGACTCTGACACTACAGGTATGGGGCTATTGTTTGTGGCTGTATGGTAACACAAGTGTTGGTAATTTCCCCGCATCTCTTCAGAATATGAGACTTGTTATATTTCATACAGCCTGCTTGCAGCTCTTGTTTTAGTCATCTTCAAATTATATATCTGTTCTAATTCCTTCTTGGAGACCTCATGGCTGGAGTTAAAGGATTCAATTGTTTCTTGGCTCTGCCAATGGCCTCTTTAATCTTATAGTTCACACGATAGACTCTTTTTAGTTTGTTTTTAGTTGAGCCTTTTGAAAATCGAAATAATAATGTTCAATAGGAATAACAAACATTTTTATATCATCTTAAGGTTTACCAACACTGACACTAACACGATGGGATTGGTGTTACAGTTATTGCATGAGGCATTAGTTATTTGAGAAAGAAGGGAGAATCACTTACAGGATGATAGATCATCGTAAAAAGAACCAAGTGATAAAGCAGGCGTAGTAAACTTCAAAGGAGGAGAAGGTTTCTGAGTCATGATGGCAGAGGTGCCTGAAAGGGGTAGCAGAGATCAAGGGCTATGCTAACTCTTTTTCTTGACCCGCTTCTGCTTTTGCCACTACCTCTGTGGTCCTGGTAAGTCACTTACCTTCTCTGGGCTTCAGCTTCCTTATATCTGTGTGATGAAGGGATACAACTAGATAATCTGAAAATTCATTTCTGGTTCTGGCTTCTGTGATGAGCAGCAAGGCTTAGAGAGGGAGGGATACTGGGAAGGATACAAAAGGAGAAATCAAAAGTGCAAGAAATTGTGATAATGGTTGAACCAGGGCACAATGGAAGGAGAAGGCAGAGAAGGAATAGATCAGGGAATGTGAGATTAAATTGCATCCAATAAGATAAGATAAGGGTATGGGGATAGCTAGCAGAGGAAGAGGGCTTTCACTCTTGGAGACAATCACTTTGAATCATTGAGATTAGGGGAATAGGAAATAGGAATTTGCTAGCACGTGCTAGGTGTATATGTGTTGGGCTGACTGGGGCCTCTAACGTCCATGGTGCTATGTCGATAGAGTGTGCCCTTAGTTCTCTCTAAGAACTGGGGAACTAAGATAAGGGGTGGCAGAGAATGTAAGTCTGAGGCTTGGGTCTCCAGGAATGAGATTGAACTCACATATGATAGCAACTCAGTAATTATATACTAAGATATCAGGGCCTAGGTCACACCTGGGAGATGCCCCACATGTGGGGAATGGAATTATTAATCAACCAACAAACTCTTATTAAGTGCCTAATATGTACCAGGCCATGGAAATTATATATGTGTACACACACATGTGTATGTATGCATGCATGCATGTATATGAAATAGTCACTGCTTTCAAAGAACCTATGTTTCATCAGGGGAAACAACATGTGTGCATACATACATATTCATACATGTGTACACATACATACACATGCATATTGTTGTTGTTGTTAAGTCATTTTCAGCCCTATCTGACTCTTCGTGACCCTATTTAGGGTTTACTTGGTAGAGATATTGGGAGGATATGCCATTTTCTTCTCCAGCTCATTTTACAGATGAGAAAACTAAGGTAAACGGGGTTAAGTGACTTGTCCAGGGTCACACAGCTAGTGTCTGAGGTCAGATTTCAACTCAGGAAGATGACTTCAAGCTTGGCACTCTATCCACTACACCACCCAGCTGCACTAATATATGCCCCTACACACACACATACCCAGAGAAATATGAGGTGATTAGGGAGAAAGGGTTCGAGCACTTGGAATCAGGTCAGTAAAGGCCTCATGTAAAAGGTGTTACTTGAGATATACACATATACACACATACATATGCATGCATATGTACATATATACATAATATTGATATACATATGTGCATGTGTATATATTACATGTGCACATACATAAAACATGTATAATAAATATTATTTCAAATATTTATCTATTTATTATATAGTATACTTATATATAATACATAAAATAAGTTTTATATAACTGTATTTAAAATATGTATCATATATCAACTATAAAATATGAGATAGAAAGTTTGAATCAATAATAGATGAAGATCTCTTGAGACTTTGTATCTCTATTGCTTATAATCATTTATTTGAAAAATTAGAATTTCAAAGGGCTGAAGTCATTCACAGGGGTTTTCAAAACCTGGTGCAATCATAACTATGATTATCTATTATGTTCAGGACCAGTTGTTAAGGGCTCGAAAAGCTAAACAGAGGAGTTTCCATTTTATACTACAGGATATTCTAGGGAGCCAATGATGTTTGTTGAGTAGTGAAATGACCTGGTCAGATCTGTGCTTAAAAAAGAAATCACTTTGGCAGCTGTGTAGGAGATGCATTGGAGTTGTGAGAGACTTGAGGCAGGCTAACAATTAGGAAAACATTGCATTAGTCCAGGCAAGCGATGAATAGACTTAAAATAGATTGTGGCTATATAAGCAGAGAAAGGAGATCAGCTATAAGACATATATTCATTAAAAAAAAAAAGGCAAGATTTGGCAGCTGATTAGATATGTGGGACAAGGGAGAGGGAGGCATTGAGTATAATGTTAATGTTATGAACCTGAATAATTGGAAAAATTGTAGCACCCTCAATAGAAAAAAAAAAGTAAAGCTAGGATGAATCATGGGGTTTAGGAACAAGATAATGACTTGCTTGGAACATAGTGAGGTCCATGAGACATCCAGTTTGAAATGTCTAATAGACAAATGTCTAGTAATTGTTGGTACCAGAGGGGAGCTCAGGAGAGAGACTGAGTCTGGATATATGGATGTGGGAGATGATCATTAAGCTCATGACAGCTCTTACCAAGAAAGAGAGAGTGTTACAAAGAGAACAGGCCTCAAGACAGAACTTTGGGTTATATTCACATGTCATTAGAGGGCATGATATGAGCAATGAATCATCACAAGAGACTATTAAGGAATAGTCTGACAGGAGGAGAAGCAGCAGAGATTTATGTAATAAAAACACAAGAAGAGAAAGCATCCAGGACAAAAGCGTGGACCACACTGTCACAGTGTCAGAACTGATTTGAAGAAAATTTACCTTGCCAGTAGTGTGTGGGAGGGACTAGAGTGATATGAGATTTGTGATAGGAAGACCAATTGGATCATGGATCTATCAGAGTATTAAATGTAAATTTCTTAAAGGAAGGGACTAATTCTGCTTTTTCTATGTCCTCAGTGCCTAGCAAAATATCTTGGACATAACAGGAGTTTCATGGATGTTTGATGTATTGAATTGAATGGAAGTTGACATGAGTAGCCCACTAACACTGGTGATTTGTTGGCTAGCCTCAGTAGCTATACTGAGCTACTCCATGAGGGAGCATCATTCTGTTTAGGGATGTTAATTAGGATCTCAAACAGTCCCCAAATTTGTGAGCACAGCTTCTGATTGTATCAGGTTCTATTCTTTTGTTTTCCTTTTGGATGAGTCCCATGACTGTCAAGTGATTTGTTTCATGAAACTGGAATCCTAGGGCATGAGTCCTAGGATATTTCAGAAAGATGGGGATCTCCACGCTAACCCTTAGTCATATCTCTGTTTATGGATTTTAAGAGGAGGCTGAAGAAGAGATTAAGTAGGTTACTCTCACTCAGAGAATGACTATAATAAAATAGGTTCTGAGACTTAGCTAAAAAGCATGTTCTTCAATGTACCTCTACTGAGGCATTTTCCTGCCTTGTAACGAGGAGAAAGGGATATCTAACATTAGATAGCCAGAGTTCAGGAGTTCAAACAAAAGAGTATAGGCAATACTCTCTCTCTTTCTCTCTCTCTCTCTCTCTCTCTCTCTCTCTCTCTCTCTCTCTCTCTCTCTCTCTCTCTCTCTCTCTCTCTCTCTCTCCCTCTCTCTCTCTCTCTCTCTCTCTCTCTCTCTCTCTCTCTCTCTCTCTCTCTCTCTCTCTCTCTCTCTCTCTCTCTCTCTCCCCCGCCCCTCAGAAAAAGGAAAACAGGAGAACAGTTATACAATAACAACAACCTTATAAAAGCAAACAACTTTGAAAGATAATAATTGTGATTATTGCAGTGATCAGCCATGATTTCAGAGGACTGTAGTGCTTTTTGTTATTAAATGGGAATCGTATACCTTTTGTTAAGAGAGAAAGCATGAATTTTCCTGAGGCAATTTCTATGTTTGGGCAATATGAAGTTAAGATGTAGACAAGAAATCTGTCTGACATGACCCCAGCAACAAGACAGGGCCTTGGTGCCAAGCCAAAGGCCTTCTGAAGGCAGTGCTCCTTGCTAGGCAGGCTGGCCAGGACTCACTGTGGGAGGTGGTCCTGAGCCCTGGTTAAGTGAGGAGAAAGGGATCTTAGATAAGGAATTTCCACCTGCCACAGAGTTTTCTCAAACAAGGAGTAACCCAGGTGCTTGGAAAACTTGGCTCAATATCAGTGAAGTTCTTTGACTTCCTCAGAGTGAGGCAAGGACACAGGGGAATCACTGCCATTTAAATGTTGATTTCACAACCTCTTTCTCAGATATGATGAGCAAATGTTATCAACACAGAGAATATTTGTCATGTATATGAAAATATTCAAAGTTCCTGACATAAGGAAATCTTGTTTTTCCCTAGAGCAGAAGGCACTTTTGTCACTAACTTGTCTTGAGTTTTTTGAATTATCATTGATGATAGTAATTCAGTACAATAATTTGGTAAACATATATTAGGCACCTCTTGTATATATAGCACCATGGTAGGTGCTGGGGAAATAAAGGAGTTTAAATAAGACAAAGGCCCTGCCTTCATGGATATTATAGTCTAGTCAAGGGGTATAGTACATACATAAATAACTTCAAAAAGAAGGTATCGCATTATTTTGTGTTATAGTTATCTGTGAGAAGCAGTGTGACACAGAGCACTGTCCTCAGGAAGACCTGAGTTCAAGTTTTGCTTCTAACACAGGCTTGCTGTATGTCCCTAGGGAAGTCACTCGACCCCCCAGGTAACTTTCTAACACTACACTTTGTGGAATAAG